TCCTGGATTATAAATATCATTTCACCAATTCTATTAACCGTTCTGCATATTTACTACAATTGATTTTACCCATAATGTCCTGCTATGGAATAAGCTTGTTTACAATACCAATTTTGCCAGCAGAATATTCCATTTTCAAAACTATATCTTAGAATAAAATTTTGTAAACAGCTACACATTTTCAACCCTTCATTACAAATATGTCACTGCGTCACTGACTTGTGCAATATAACTGTATCCTAGATCTAGAAAAATCAACAAAACAAATTACAACCAAGTTCTAAATAACATGTAAATTTAATAGTATAAAGGATTTCTAACATCTCTCCTCTGAAAGAAAAAAATATCTATCATGATATAACAATACTATAAACACAATGCTGTTACGTTAAGATGAGTGCTATACACTATTTTTCAAGTTTTTATGCCCTACCTACGATAGTAGAGGGGCATTATGTTTTTTGGTCTGTGGGTCCGTTCGTCTTTCCGTCCGTCTGTCCCGCTTCAGGTTAAAGTTGTTGGTCAAGGTAGTTTTTGATGAAGTTGAAGTCTAATCAACTTGAAACTTAGTACACATGTACCCTGCGATATGATCTTTTTAATTTTAATGCCAAATTAGATTTTTGACCCTAATTTCATGGTCCACTGAACATTGAAAATGATAGTGCAAGTTTCAGGTTAAAGTTTTTGGTTAAAGTTTTTGGTCAAGGTAGTTTTTGATGAAGTTCAAGTCCAATCAATACGAAACTTAGTACACATGTTTCCTGTGATATGATCTTTCTAATTTAAATGTCAAATTAGATTTTTGATCCCAATTTCATGGTCCACTAAACATCGAAAATGATAGTGCAAGTTTCAGGTTAAAGTTTTTAGTCAAGGTAGTTTTTGATGAAGTTATAGTCCAATCAACTTGAAACTTAGTACACATGTTCCCTGTGATATGATCTTTCTAATTTGAATGCCAAATTAGATTTTTGACCCCAATTTCATGGTCCACTGAACATTGAAAATTATAGGGCAAGTTTCAGGTTAAAGTTTTTGGTTAAAGTTTGTGGTCAAGGTAGTTTTTGATGAAGTTCAAGTCCAATCAACATGAAACTTAGTACACATGTTCCCTGTATTATGATCTTTCTAATTTAAATGCCAAGCTAGATTTTTGACCCCAATTTCATGGTCCACTTAACATAGAAAATGATAGTGCAAATTCTGGTTAAAGTTTTTGGTCAAGGTAGTTTTTGATGAAGTTCAAGTCTAATCAATTTGAAACTTAGTACATATATTCCCTGTGATATAATCTTTTTAATTTAAACGCCAAATTAGATTTTTGACCCCTATTTTACGGTCCACTGAACATAGAAAATGATAGTGCGAGTTGGGCATCCGTGTACTATGGACACATTCTTGTTTAATATTTCTTCTAGTGTGCATCGGACTTGTTGAAAAAGTAACATATATTTTGCTCAATATCATTATGACCTTCTTGTAACCATACAGCACCAGCACCTACATCCCTTTCGTCAACTTGTAATTCAAACTGTTTTGTAAAGAATAGATATGTTGATATTGGAGAACTTGTAAGACCAGCTCTATTGTTAACAAAGGCTTGATGACACTGATCTGAGCATTTGAATTCCCGTCTTTCTACAATTGGACATGGGGGTTCAAACTGTTGCAATATTATGGAAACATTTTCTATATTTCCAGGCAATACCTGAAATCTCATGATTTCTCTATTAAATGTAGGTGAGTGATATTTCAGAACATCCTTCATCATAGCGTGTAGTTGTTACATCGGACCTTGACCAAGGACATGTTGTCAATATTCAATTGTACAAAATTAATTTTTGAAGCAAACTACTGTTTAACTTTTTAACTCAGATTATCTTTTAACAAGTTCTATCATCCTCCTGGTATGTTCCTCTCGGGTGTCACTATCGATTATTACATCATCAATATAACTTGTACACCATTATTCATTTACCGTAATAAAGAGGACAGGTACATATTTCATACCAAACGGCATAATTTTACACTGGCATAATTCGAAGCGTGTCACAAAGAAATAATTTTTTTTTTATGTTTTTAGTTAAAAGAATTTTACAAATCAAATTTACTAACATATTTGGAACGGCCTATTTCATCTTAGCAATCATCAATAATAGGAATTGGAAAAGAATAACCTTCAGGTTTAGGCCAAGATGCATTGACAACTCTTTAATAGTTTCTTATTAGCTCTTTTTATCAAAATAATCGCTGTTGGACATGTTGGATTAGTAGAAATACAGTTGTGTGACTGCATCCGAAAAAGTCGTATGTAAACGCGTTATCTGGCATACATTTGTTAAGAGCATAGAATCTTGTATCACCCTTTTCAAATTCCGTCTGCTTATTTTAATTATGCATTTTGTATAACTTTACGATTCACTTTTTATTTTATTTTATCAAATCTGAGTGAAGAACACGTAAATTGCATAACAATTTACGACGTTACATGAAATCGTTATTTACTGTAAAGTAATTCTGAAATGTATAGATTATAATGAACAATTTAAAAAAAAAAACTGATTTGGCTGACTCTATTCATGATGAATTTAACTAACCTTCATCAAATCCTCTATCGGTCAAACGAAAGCAACGGTAGGGGAATGAAATACAAACAATGTTTGGGGTAATTAACACTTAATATCTGTCTGGTCCGAGTACACAGTTATTTTGTAGTGCATTTCTTTTAGACAATAAATGGAAATTAAAAAAATCCCACCTGCGCTTTCTCAATAATATTTTTACAGTGTGTTGTACTACTTTTGGGACAAATTATATCAAAATTATAGAAAACTTCATCGGCTCTAACTCAAAATATGGACAATTTCATGCTAAGGGGGTCTTCAAATCTTTTGACAGCTTCCGATGTGCTAATTTTTAACATTTTTCAGCTGGACCAAATCACTACTTTACTTTAAAATTCATGACCCAAATTTTTTTACAGTGTCATTTCACCCCCCTACTTACTATTTGAGTCATAAAACATGGAGAAATAAATTCGGAAGGGGTATAAAAAAAATCGACAAGTAACACACTGTCCACACTAGGGACTATATTTGTGGACAACGAAAATCAAAGGACGATAACTGTGTACCCGGACCTAATAGGGTAGAAAAAGTTGACCAATCTTAATGAAACTTGGTATGACTAAAGCTTATTAAATTATAAGACTGCTTACAAAGTTTCATGGCAATAGGATATATATTATAGACAATATGACTAATTCTATATTGAACTTTGAGTGTTAAATTTAGACGTTAAAATTGAAAATTTTCAACTATCAACAATTGAGGCTTAAAAAATTAAAATATTGCAAAAAAATACTTTTGAAATGCCTTAATATATAATATATTATGTATTAAAAGCAATAGAGTACTCATTTGATTCATCAGACTTATCATAATTATTAAAAAGTCAAATTTATATGAGCCTGTGGCTAAAAATGGAGGTTTTCCAATGAAGGGGGGCCTTACATGAAGATGTAATATTTTCCAGCAATTTTAAATTTGTAAAGCTTTTTGGTTATAAATAATCCTTACATATGTATTTAATGTACTTTAAATGGAAAGAAAACTTACAAATAACATATCACATTAGCTTAAAAGGGTCTTAGGCCAAGTAAGACTGAAAATAATTTAGGGTCAATTTAGGCCGTATCACACATTTACATTTAAAAATGCATATTGAAGCTATATGAAATAAAATTTTGTGTCTTTTCTATCATTTCTATACTCAGGTGATATGATACAATAAATCTGAGCACAAAAAGACTCTTGCATTCAACTTTTTTTGCAGACAGTATGGTCTGATACAAAGATTTTTCACTTTTTAGTGAAAAACATGCATGCAATTTTAGTCTCAACAGGCTTATATTTGAACCACTTGCTATCCTACAGAAGAAAAGAAAGGTATTATGTGACATAAAACAGGTACAAAAGACATTGTTAAGTGCTTTTTATACAAATTTAGTGAGGTCTTTATAATGGACTTCAACTTTTATGTTCCAAGCTCCTCACATTTAACTTGATCCAAACAGGGCGTTAGACGAGGATCATATATACAACACATTTTGCGCATATTGTCTGAGATAATCTTCTTTTCTGTAGATTCAGAGTTCACAAATGAGTAATACAACTGGATTGAAACATAGAAACACAAATATTGACACATAAAAACCTGTCAGATAGAAAGTCAGAATGCCACTTATGCATCAAAATTGAAAAAGCTATGAAATGCTTATTTTGACCATAAAATGCCAAAATTGGTCATTTTTGCAGAAATTCTATCAAATAAAAGTTTAAATCCTTTAGTTTTATGCTATTTGATAAATTGACACCATCAAATCATTCAGGGAAGTTGCCAAAGTACAGATTCTATATTTCCTGATTTCACCTCTTAGGTCCGAGTACACAGTTATTTTGTAGTGCATTTCTTTTAGACAATAAATGGAAATTAAAAAAATCCCACCTGCGCTTTCTCAATAATATTTTTACAGTGTGTTGTACTACTTTTGGGACAAATTATATCAAAATTATAGAAAACTTCATCGGCTCTAACTCAAAATATGGACAATTTCATGCTAAGGGGGTCTTCAAATCTTTTGACAGCTTCCGATGTGCTAATTTTTAACATTTTTCAGCTGGACCAAATCACTACTTTACTTTAAAATTCATGACCCAAATTTTTTTACAGTGTCATTTCACCCCCCTACTTACTATTTGAGTCATAAAACATGGAGAAATAAATTCGGAAGGGGTATAAAAAAAATCGACAAGTAACACACTGTCCACACTAGGGACTATATTTGTGGACAACGAAAATCAAAGGACGATAACTGTGTACCCGGACCGTCTGCAGGTTTAAAATATTTAGATTGTTTGCAATTGTTTGGGATTAAATAGACAGCCGTCATCAAAAGCTCAGGTTTAAATAGTTCTTCGTTATTTGTTTCATTTCAGATATGGCTTTGTCGACAGAGGCTAAAGAGCAGGATAACTTCTTGAGATATATGATTATGATAGTTGATCATTCGAAAGAAGCATTACAAGATCTTGTTAAATTAGATTTAAAAAACAAAAATCTTACCTTCGAAGAATTCCTCAACAAGAACCAGCATGAAATCTACCATTTATGCTACGATTCAAAATGTTGTCAGTGTCACAATTTACCGCCCAGAAGAAAACGAATCATATTTCCTTCTCAGTTGGAATTATTGTTCGATAAATACAAAAAATTACCTCCGCATAAGGGGATTGGACACAACGATTACTGCTGTACATATGCAATAGCTGGTATCACTTCGCAAGTGTTAGATCTTTCACTTGCACGATGTTTGTTGGTGAATTGTTGTTTAGATGTTTTTTGGTACACCTGTTTAAACGCTCAAGGGCAAACATTAGAACAATTTCTTAATCGTAACAAGCATACCATTTACCATCTCTGTAAAAACAATCAAAACTGTTGTCAGTGTCCACCTGGATATATTTTCCCATGTGATGGTCCAATTATCGATGAAAATAAATGGAAAGGTATGTTCAGATCCGTCTTGTTGCCTTGCATCAACGACAGGAAACTATCATCAACAGGAACAACCAGTGTTTGTTCCGTTGCAGCAAAGTCAGGAATAGATGTGAAAGACATACATCCTGAAATTCAAGGACTGATTCTCAAGTGGTGCTGTTCAGTTAGAATCAGTGTTGAAAAATTAGTCGAATGTAGAAATTTGAACTTTGGTCACGCCTCAAATGCCAAACTGTCAGATAACAAATTCGAGGACTTATCAAAAGAGACCGAAGAATGCATTCTTGATATTGCTCGTACTTGTGGAAAAACACTTGAAGTCAAAAACGCTATCAGTCATCTTCGTTCTAGGCCTTTAGACGCACGCTTATGTTCCCATTATCAAAATATCCTTCTTGAGAACATCAACAGAAATGAAACTATAAATGAGGTAATATCGATAGTTATTGAATGCACCCAAATTGACCATCACCAGTGTTAAAGAAATGAAGTTACATAATGATAAGTGTTATGTGTTAAGATTAGAGAATTGAGTTGCCAGTCATTGAGGTGAATTTCTTTCTTTCTCTTTGACCAAAAATTGGTTTCATCCTTTTGATTTTTCTTCAAGCCTTATCAACATGGTATTGGAGTAGACATTAAAGGACAATCGAAAACAGGAATATAATACATTGTACTTATCTTTTAGTGCAATATCCTATGTCCTATGCCCTTGTCTATAGTGTTTATTTATCACAGGTTATTATATGTTATATGCTATACGTTGGTCTTTTTTCTGTTTAGAATGTCATATCAGAACACCAAAAGACAAGAGAAAAGGTATCTTGTACGCTAAAAAATTTAGAAGACAGAATAAAATCATTAGAGACGTCATCTATAGAAAATAGAATAGAATTAAACGATTTAAGGAAACTATTAACAGGTATATTTGAATTAATGTCATGCTCTTTTTAATAACCATTGATTAGATATATGTACTTAAGTTATGAGGGCTTTGAAGTTTGAAGATTTTGAAGGATTTGACATTTTCATTCTGTTTTTTCTATTTCTGATGGATAACATGCATAATCATGAGTTATCAAAATAGTACTAGCAACTATTCATTTTTGATTTACACGCGGCAGAAAGTTCATGTTCGTGAAACTTCATTTAAATAATTCAAATAGAAACACAAGTCTACAAACACTGCATACAAAAACTTAAGAATGATCATAAGAAAACAAATCGACAATGACATCAGTTTAAGGTACTCTGAAAGGGTAGGCATTTTATGTGACACGTGTTATATTCCAAAATAAGTAAATATTTGTGGAGAAAATTGAAAAATAAAAGAAACGGAGTATTGTAATGACAACAAGAACATAAACGTGGTCATCTGTGATTTAAATATTTCATAAAGGCTAACCAACTCGTTACACGATCAGAAAACCGTCTGAGGGGATGACAAATTAACCACTTAGAACCTTAGGTGCAAAAGCTTCCTTATTGACGATGAGGGTCAGTTGAGAAAAAATTTATACGACAAACTAGAAGATTTCAGCTTCCCAATTGTGAACTTTCTATTCCTATTTAGCAACATACCAGCAGCGCCTGCATACGGAGTATATATATATATATATATATATATATATATATATATTTAGACTTGTTTATATTTTTTCGTTTGGGCTTGTATTATATTTGCCTTCGGGTTTATATGATCCGTTCATCCTACTTTGACTCTTTCAAAATTCAAGAGTCTATCCTAAATTGAGGTAAATTATATGGCCTTCCAAATACCTTTTCGATTCCTAACATCACTGAAGAGACATTAATTGTCGAAATCCGGATATGGTGTAAAAAACCTTTGCACCTTTTGTTTGCGGTATACCATCTTTTCCGCAAGTTTATTGTTTTCTGTTTAGTACTAAATGTATAATTGAAATCCATTTATTACATCGGTGATCCGTTTATTTGGCAAACGCCAATGGCAGTCAGCAGGGTTTAAGGACATCAGTTGTTCGACCTGCTAGTCAAATGCGTTTTGTTAAAATATACTTTTTCACTCATTTGATCTTTTGGAAAATGTTGTTTGTGCTGTATTTGGACCCCTCTACCAAGAAATTTGTTTTGCATGCACACGTATAAAAATTGCGGTTTTTATCCAACGCAATTATAGGATAGAACGTTGTTTTCAATTTAGACTTATATATATATATATATATATATATATATATATATATATATATAAGTCTAAATTAAAAACAACGTTCAAACCTATGATTGCGTTGGATAAAAACCGCAATTTATATATATATATATATATAAGTCTAAATTAAAAACTACGTTCAAACCTATGATTGCGTTGGATAAAAACCGCAATTTTTATACGTGTGCATGTAAAACAAATTTCTTGGTAGAGGGGTCTAAATACAGCACAAACAGCATTTTCCAAATGACAAAAAAGGGAAAAGTATATTTTAACAAAACGCATTTGACTAACAGGTCGAACAACTGATGTTCTTAAACCCTGCTGACTGCCATTGACGATTGCCAAATAAATTGATCACGAGATGTAACATGGATTTTAATTATTAATTTAATACCAAACAGAAAACAATAAACTTGCGGAAAAGATGGTATATCGCAAACATTGAAGTGCAAAAATTTGTACACCATATCACGTATGAATTTTGAAGAGTCGAAATAGGATGAACGGATCATATAAACCCAAAGGCAAATATAATACAAGGCCAAACGAAAAAATATAAACAAGTCTAAATTGAAAACAACGTTCAAACCTATGATTGCGTTGGATAAAAACCGCAATTTTTATACGTGTGCATGCAAAACAAATTTCTTGGTAGAGGGGTCTAAATACATATATATATATTCCTCCCAGGGCTTGTACTTCCTATCATGATTTCCGTGATAGAAGTTTATTGCTCACAAGAAACCAACTAAACCAAGAATTCCAAGTAGTGATTTTAAATCACCCTTTCGTTAATTTTACCGACGTCGTCACGAGTTGATTCACCGTTAGGGAATATCCGTTTAATAGATGACAACTGATATGTTCCAATTGTCGTTACTAAAATCCCGTCGTCATTTCCTGGAATGTGAACTATCAAGTTAGATATATATCGACGGGTTTGAATTTGTATGAACAATACACAAGACGTCAAAGGGGATTTATGACGTTTTGTTAATATTAATATGTCCGATTGAGGCGTTTCGGTAAAACCTTAATCCAACTGATTTGCTCGCAAATTTTACAGATTCAATTCTTTCATACTCAATCATGCATTGTTTTAGTTTGTTGAAATATTAGCTTAACGTAGAAATGTATCAAAACAAAAAGGATAAGCGCAAGTTTGTCCTATTTTCAGATAATTCCAAAAGATCTAGGCTTTTAGGTAAGTTTTGTTTCGTATTAATTTTATCATACGGTTATAATAATGTCATATCATGGGCTCGATAAAAAACCAATGTGTGCCGCTATACATAACGACGAAGGCAGTTACAAAATGTTCTCTCTCTATTTTTATACTAAGAAACTTTAAATATTTTCAAAGATTTACTTTATACACATGTATATCGCATATCATGATTCAAAACTGTTTTTTTATTCCACTTTTCAATGTGGGATTTGTATTAAATTACAAATTTGCACATTTATCTTCCACATTTATATTCAATACATGTCTACGAAAAAGAACATTCTTCCTTTGGTCTTTGTTTGGGTTGATAATCTATAATAAATATTGAAGTTTAGTGGAAATCGGGGATCTTTTGTTGTTAGTTCGTCAATACGTTAGGTCCAGTGAGCTTTTCTCATTATCTGGCGTCCGTCTTCCTTAATTTTTTTATTGATCTATCTTCAGAAACAGTTGTGCCACTAAGAACCAAACGACCAAACACACTACTAGGAGTATACAGCTGAAAAAAAATGTGAACAAATGACCCGTCTTCCTACCGACATTGCCGACATATCAACATATATAACTTTGGGTAGAAAAAAGTATTGTCTTTATCTTTAAAAAAAATTTGACGAGGCAGTATGGTAGAACATTGAGATTATCCTACTCAATATAAATATAACTTGAAAACTTTTATACGACATATAAGAGTTATTGACCTTGTACTTTTTATACATTGCAAAATGTCTTAAAGCTTCAAAATATCAATTCTAAATATACTTTTGAAGTTTGAGCAGTTAACATAACTTATCAGAAGAAAAGAAAGATGAGTATAATTCAACTGTGCAGTAGTATTTTACTTACAAGCATGCTGTCGAAAGCCAAGTGGTCAGCACTTCTGCGTCGACGTGACATATCATTGATATGGTCATATTTATAAATTCACAGTGTAACGAAACTTTGAGTTGTTAAAAAAACTAAGGATTTTCTACACCAATTAATTGAATAACTATGCTCTATTTGGCAAAACCTTTCGGAATTGTGGGATTATGCTCTTTAACTTCTTACTTGATTTGGACGTTTAAACCTTTTTCATTCGAGCGTCACTGATGAGTCTTTTTTGTAAATGAAACGCGCGTTCTTTGAATTCTTCAAATAGCATTATCATTAGACTTATATATGTATGTAAAAAACTATCCAAGTTTGTTTTTAAACACTGTCAGAATGTTAAAACATTAGGCATTTAAACACCTAAATAACTGTATAAACTCTTAAAAATACACCTTCTTCTTTGTCAAATAGATGAATTTGGCTAAAACATGAATATTGTGAATATAAGGTAAAAAAAATCCTATGCAGTTTTCTTTTTTTCAAAATAAAAACAAAAATCACACAATAGAAATTCATTCCATAGTTTGGTATTCTAATTTGTGGCAGAAATTGGCATATGCTCTATTCTAAAAAATATTTCTAATTAAAGTTATTTAATGATAATTGTCAGAATGAGCAAACTAAATTCATTAAATCAATAACGGTACTTAACTGGTCATTTTTCTCAAAGTTTGTACAACGATGAGTTGAGGTAAATGATTTATCATGGTGCAAAGTGATTCATTACTAAATGAATTTACGCAGTATTAATGATATTGGTGAGTTGTGTCAAGTTAACCCGTTATTCTTCAATATATTGTATAAACATCTAAAAATAGTTAATGAAGCAAAAGCAATTTTTTTTTAAACTTATTTATTTTTGATTAATCTTAAAAAAAAAGAGAGCACCAGTGGCTAAAAATACTTTTTTAAAACCTAAAATGCCAATAATGTTAAATTATCATTATTTGCATGATACCAATTTACTTAGATTGCGTAGACATAAGGGAACCATGAATTTAAATACTTAATGATTATAAATTTCTCATAGTCGTTTTTGCAGATTTTTCTAAAAACATGAAATCAAATAACCATGAAAACATCGGGTATTCTAACATTCAGACATAAATTTGTTACCACACTTAAGGCTGAATTCAATGGTTAATCTATGATGTTATTAATAGTTTGCAGTTCCATAACATGTTGTTTTTTAAGCAACTCAATTGGCGATTTTTCTTTATCCAACGCTTCTCTGATCCGTTAACAAAATGCATTGGTACTTAATTTTAGTCTATCTCTTAGATGACATAAGATTTAAAATAAACTTTTGTTAACTTGAATCGGTACTAGTTACTAAATGCACTTTAAAATAAAAAAAAAACAATGCTTACAAAATAGAGTTTTTAAGATTTGATGAATTTAAGAGGACTATAAAATTTTACTAGTTTTCGTCTCATCATATACTTGCATATACTCTTGATTAGACAATTATCATTTTGGTACTGAATCACGAGACTGTACAGACTCTTGACATAACAGAGACTTAATTTTGCAATCTCAAATGTGGTTACATTCACGGCCATGAATCTTTTTTAATCGATAAACGCTATTCGTATAATATACCTTTTTTTCTCACAAATTTAAGAATGTTTCTAAAAATTAATATTTTTTCAAGATTATGATAAGACTTTACCTTTATTTCAAGCAATACGTCTTTTTTTCTAACCATGGATTAACGGATAGACAGACGGACGGACAGTTAATTTTTCTATACTTTATTGGGATAAAAAAGGGGAGAAACTTGAAGTGTCAATTTGTTTTCAAATCTGTTCCAGTAGAAACTATAGTGTACAACATTAAATGCAAATACCGTCGTTTTGAACTGTCAAAACGTGTACTGTTTCCATAATATCTTGAATTTTGCGTTTTTCACTTGTTTATCATATTAACCTCACGTTTAGTTTGTCTTGTTAAATTGCTTTTGAAACGTCAAACGTCTAGTTCATTTCTACCGAAAAATGCAAGAAAAGAAATAAAAATGATTTTCAAATTTTATATCATTTAAACACTTATTTAAATATTCATCATACATACATGGCTTAAAATTTTTTGCGCCAAGCCAGTGTTTTGGCTAAAAAAATACACTTGAATCTAAAGGTCAAAAGCAACACAGAAGTACTTAACATATACTTGCATTATTTTTGGATGTTTGTCAAAAATACATTTAAGCTTTTATTGCGTCCAAAATTAGTCCTGTTTTAAGTATGCAAACTAGAAAGACAGACAATTTGGATCTTTCTCGAAGAATGTTGTAAAAATAACTAATGTCAGTTGTTATGAATTTACATTGTCATCGCCGCATTTGCATTTACTAAGTATCGATAGGGCAAAAAAATCGTGTATACATTAAAAGAGACGTCAGCTTAATTGTTTAGAAATAAAACAAGGAAATAATGCCTGACTTATTTCAATAACTCCTCTATCGTCTTGTTGTTCCTTTAGTCTAATCATTGTCTTCCCATCCAGGTGTGCATTATCCACAAAAAATATATATTGCACATAGGTACATAATGCAAAAATTATTTTGAGAAAACAAATATTAATTAAGATAGGTTGAAAAGTGTTTAAATAAACTGTTGTTATATCCTATTCCAGTTCTTCTAATCCAGAGATAACAAGGTGTTTCGAACATCTATTTAGACTCATTAGATTGACCATGGTCATGTACGTCGTCAAGAGCCTAAGCAATAGTGAATGAAAATGCCGCAATATAAATCAGGGGTTTGACACATGTTAACTGTTTGACCTTCTACTTTTCTAAAATACTTATTCCATTTATTTTTACTCCTTTCAAAAATATGATACACATATAAAATTGAGAATGAAAATAAGGAAAGTGTCAAAGAGACAACAATCCGACTTAAGAGTTAGAAAACAGCAAAAGGCCACCAATGGGTCTTCAACACAACAAGAAAATCCTGCATCCGGAGGCGGACTTCAACTGGCAATTTAACAAAGATGTGTACTAGTTCAGCAAAAATTGACGTCATACTAAACTCCAAAACATATAAATGTTCAAAATGAAAAAAAAAAAAAAACAAACATACAAGACTAACAAAGGCATGAGGCTCCTGACTTTGGACATGCGCAAAAATGCGGCGGGTTTAAACATGTTTAGTGAGATTTCAACCCCCCTATACCTCAAGCCAATGTAGCAAAAACAAACACATAGCAATACGCAGAGTAAAACTCAGTTTAAAGAAGTCCGAGACCGATGTCAGAAAAGGTAACAAAATAAACTAAGCCAGTTACTGACATGCCAGCTCCAGACATCAATTAAACTGATTAAGAGATTATGTCTTCATCATATGAAAATCAAGCAAAATCCCTCCCGTTTGGTGTTTAGTTTCATATCATTATAATTAGTTATCAAAGGTACCAGGATTATAATTTAATACGCCAGACGCGCGTTTCGTCTACATAAGACTCATCAGTGACGCTCGGATCAAAATAGTTATAAAGCCAAACAAGTACAAAGTTCAAGAGCATTAAGGACCTAAAATTCCAAAAAATTGTGCCAAATACGGCTAAGGTAATCTATTCCTGGGATAAGAAAATCCTTAGTTGTTCGAAAAATTCAAAATTTTGTAACAGGAAATTTTAAAAAATGACCATATAATTGATATTCACCGAAGTGCTGACTACTGGGCTGGTGATACCCTCGGGAACGAAACGTCCACCAGCAGTGGCATCGACCCAGTGGTGTAAATAGTAAAATATATGAGAAGAATATAACACGTATCATGCCAACAACTGGTTTTAGAATAAATGTGTATATTTTCGATGGAAAGATCCTATGATTGAATCAACATAAATACGAAAATATGCCATCTTTAATGGCCTGACAACAGTATCGTAATATATCCCTACTTAATTAGTCTGTTATATATGGAAGTTTTCAACGACATTGACTGGCTATACAGCCCTTGCACGGTTGGTGTGCAAATATATATATTAATTAGTCTGTTTTAAGGTTTGTTTAGCTTTTAAGGTGAATGCCCACATGTTTGTGCTTTGTAATGAATATTACCATAAAAGATTGGATGTGAAATACCTGAACGTATTAACTGTCTGCATTTAGAATTTATTTTCGAAAGGGTGTCGCTCCTTGTACCGATGATAAAATTTAGTAAATGTTTTGATTACATTGTGATATTGGAAACCCTGTTGTAATAATTTTTCAGTAATACAAAGATTTCTTTCTTTGAAATCAAATGCATTGTACACGGGAAAATCGAACAAGTTGAGATACATATACACCATAATATATATAAACATAAATTTATATGTACTGATATATTTCTATAATTTGCAACATGTTACTTTACAAGAGTTGCTAAGGTTAATATGTTTTTCAAGTTTGTAAACTTGTATGCCTGCGAAAAGCGAACAGAGTTTTTTTTTTATTAAATAAATTTAACCTCTTCGTCATTTTATAATATATCCAATGTTTTTCGTATGATATGTTATACGTCTTTAAACACTTTGAGGAATTATACTTGAGGTGACTTTTACAAAGATAAGGTTTTACAATCAATGTGTCACTTCTTTGTTATAACATGCAACTTCCATTACAGATTTAATTTCATGTACTTTCTGTCCGTTTTTTATTAGGCGTTAAGAAATAACCCAAATGGTGTTTGCAAAGCTACTGGATCGTGTGTGTTTCTTTTATTAGAAATTGATATAAATCCAGCCAAAAGCAGAGGCTGAATTTTATAATTCTTTTAAAAGATTGCCATAAATATTACTTTAATAAATGACAAAAGACCTTACGGTGGTATTGAAAATGAAGATAGCAAAAGGGTACGGTGTTTTGATTAATGCTTAACATTCTCAATTTGCTGCTGGATCCCAATTATTGTCTCGTTAACCAATTATGTCTGTTTAGGTTTCTCACAAAATTTTGCCAATGTAACAGAGCTTTCTACAACTATCATACATGTTGGATATTTGGATAACTATAACATCAGGTTGAACCCACCATTATTTTTCGAGAAATGCCTGTACGAAATCAAGAATAGGGCGTTCGGATTTTTCATGTTTTATGTTTTCAATTCCCTTTTTATTTACTTTCAATGGAGTTCGGTATTTTTTTCTAATATGTTCGTATAACACGTGTTAATGATTTTTATTTGTATAAAGTGTTGGCATTTGATTAGAGACGTTTTTAATTTTCTTCGGAGTTCAGTATTTTTGTGATTTTACTTTTTATTACAGATACCCATTCTACATTCAAAGCAAAAAATATTTATGAAGAAAACGTTGTTCAGAGTCATTGAAAAAATGGCTGAAATTAATCTTGTATGTCTGGAAAAACTCGTTATTCAACCCTTTTATGTGCACATAGTGCCGATTTTCTGAAGTTAAATTAATAAATTAAACAAAACATAAAATATTATCATGTTGTTATTTTCGTGTCTGAAATCTAGTTTCTGATAAAAACAAAAGCATTCGATAAGTTGTATCTGTAAATTTTTGTTTGCTTATATATGTGTTTATTAATGTATTTAAATTATTGTCAAAATGTTTAACCATTGCTAAATTAATTAAAAAAAATATATAAAATACAATTATTTCAATAGACAACGTTTAATGGTTGAAAAAAGGAATGCAAGATAAGGCCGTCATATAATGGTACTGTAGGACAATGACAACGGAAACAACACTATAGCCTTTTCCCAATCGCAAACTTGTGCACATATTTTATTAAAATATGGAAGTTTATATACCTATATAGAGTTATTTCGTTTCTGAAAGTTAATTTTTTGTGGAGGAAACAACGCTGGCGGTACCAAGTTCCAATGCAATGTCATTCAAGGCATTCAATAATATCCTATGTTATTTCATTATTTATCCCGATTATAAACGGAAACTACAGTTTGTTACTTGTCCTGAACATGCATGAAATAGTTCCCCTGGTTTGTGAAAACATCAAATTCATTTAATAATAGCTCTGAGTTGTTGCCAAACTGTTACTTAAATGTTCAAGTTTTCATCTTTTATATTTGTTTAAAGGTTTTAGGCAGAATTTGTTTTCTTTAATTCATTAGATTGAAATACTAATACCACAAAACGTCATACCGAACACTTTTAACAGTTTGATCTACACAAATAATAAGAAATTCTGTAAATTTATCGCTGCTATAAAGAGTCATTGTGTCAGTTAAATTTAATGATGAGAGACTTTATATACCAGTTTTGTAGCATATATCTGTAACTTCATGATATTGAACAATTTCAATTTAAGCAACTGAAAGATTTAAATAAAATCGTATCATTTCAATTTAATTAATGTTATATTTCCTAGATTAAAGCACATTTCTGCATAGATTTACCAAAGTTATAAGGGAACTCAAAAATGTTGCTGAAAGCATGTTTCACTAAGCGAGTTTTTTTAAACTAGTCATATAATTTGACATATACCTACTTTCTAATTGATCATGCTGATCGAGTGACTGTATATTTCATTAGAAAACAACAAATTTCAAAATCAAAAAGGTGAAATGGTATTACCAAGTACAGTACATTTTAAGTCTTGCTCCTAAAAATGTCCCTATGGGAAAAGACGTCCGACTAGTCCGACATATATCTGACTGTAATTAACCCATGTAGTGATATTACCTGTGTACTACCTTGCTGGAAGGTCGTAAATTAATCTGTAGCTGTGATTGATAAATTCCGATTCTTACCTGTAAAGATTGATGGATGACATATTCCTGCATATTATTTCATTTTTTAAGTATAGAAAATATTGGATAAAACATTGTAAAGGACATTATAACTTTCACAACTGGCACTCCCAAAGATATGAAACTACATGTATACTACACATTTAATTAAAAAAATTTCAGACTCTAATTCAGTGTACAAAAAAAAACCTCAAGATAACTCTTATCTCCGATATTTTGCGGTTGAAATATTGGATAAATTAGATTTTTGGATGTATAAATACCGATACACTTATAAGTTTCCCTATGTTTGTTTTGAAATCTTAAATTTGTTAAAACCTAATGAAATTTGTATACGGACATGATATATAACATAAATTTATTTTTATTCTCCGTTTATAAATTTAGACATTATCAAAAAAAATGAGGTTCAAGGTCTTTCGGGCATAGTATTTTTTTTAAGATGAATTTATTTTCATTTTGAGCAGATCGTTAATCATGTCTTTATGTATGAATAATAACTTGGCTCACAAATTCTTGTCGTTGAGCGTTTCAAGTGAACGTAAGGCCAGAAAAGCGCATCAGACTCATGCATATAATTATAAATTTTTATTTGAAATTTAACTGTCGAAGTGAAAATTCTAAAAAAGTCTATACTAATTTTATGTTCTCAGTATATTTCCTTGACAAATGAAAACATATAGAAACAATTTCTAATCATTTGTTTATTTCAATGTGCTTTTCTTTAGATCAAACATCAGCTGAAATTGAAATCCACGAAAGAAACGGCAAATACTTAGAAGTAGGAGCCGTTAGACATTGTGTCCAGTTATTAGAGAGCAGGAATGTTGTGGTATTGTCTGGCAGGGAGGGCAGTGGCAAAAGTAGAAACGGTCTAGAAATACTGAGGCAGCTCAAAGGACAAAATAGAGACTTTGAGGTTTTCAAATTGATAGGACTTAATTATGTTTATGACATTTTTAAATCTAATGTGACAAGTATTGTATTTATTGATGATGCATTCGATAAAACTAGTGAACAATATTCTTACGATAAACACATTCTCGATCACTTATACTCAAACATAAGTCTAAATAAGGTCAAGTTTATTTTTACAATGAGAAACACTGTAAAACATGCAAACCAAAAGATATTAACAACTCACATATTATTTCATGATTTGGTTGATATTGATCTTAATTCAGAGCAATTTGAGTTAACAAGCGTAGAAAAAGAAAATATGTTAACTAAACGTTGTATCATGAATACCATTATGATATCCAAGGGAGAGGATGACGAGACAGGTCAACCAGTGTTAATTGAAGCTGACAGGAATCAGACAGAGGCTGGAGTGCTAGATCGAACTGTTGTAGTTCTTAAGAGAGACTTACTTAATGAAATAATCCAAACTGATCCTTTTCTTGGGTTTCCGGAGTGCTGTCGAATGTTCACTGAGATCAGAAACACCACTGCTGCTTTAGATGCTTTTTGCTTTAAGTGGCCTCCGCCTGTTTTGGTTAATGATATTGAACAATTGCGAATGGAAGGAAAGGATAACTACATAAGTGGACTAAAGTATGTAACATTGATTTATTTACTAACACTCGGTAAATTTGACAATTTAAAAAATATTTGTGGATTAGCCAAAAAGAACATCAATGTAGAGACTTGTAAACAAATATATGATGAATGTTATACATTGAACCAGTCGAATGTTGCAATACAGTTATCTGATATAGACCATGTATGTAAGATATTAATAGATCGCTATCTTGTTAACAGAGATGGGATTTACTACTTTCAGCAAAAAGCCGTAAAAGATAGTGTCCTCATTTCTTACAGCAAGATTAACCTGAAGGCAATCATACCACTGCTTACGCTCGACCACATCGTAGATTTAGTTTGCCTCCAAAGCTACATGGAACACGATGATGAGATTGTTATAAAAATATCAAAAGATCATTATAAGGAACTGGCCAAAAAAATAGTTATATTAATGAATAGTGTATGCTCGTATCACGAGAGAGATTTTGATAGAATGACACAATCCAAACTTATGAGAGAAAATGATGTAAATTTTATTAGTCAATTGATTCTTTGTTTATGCAATGAAAATGATACCTTGTTATCGCCATTATCATTGCACTTGCGTAGTTGCATTACTCCTAGCTTCGTTTTATATGTACTCAGAACTTCAGGAAATCACTTAAATTATAATGATAGATCGATATCAGTTCGAATTGATGATAAAATTTTGATCTTACCAGTATATCCAAATTTATTTAGAAATCGGTTTTAGATCAAAGTAAAACAAAAAATAGCTAAATGGTTTTTAAATTATACCAACCGTTCACTGTTAGATTTTAATCTAATATTGGTCAAAAAGCATATTTATAGTCCTCCAAAATACAGGAAGTTGCTCTTAGAAAATGTAAAACATGATGTGATTGATATGACTCAGTTATTTATTAATGTATGATTCACCTGTTTCACCAAATGAAAAAACAACAGTAGATTGGATGACGGATACTGTTGATAACTCTTTAATAGATTATGATAAATGTATTAAAGAAATGATCCGTGATAATAGGGAAGTACACTGAACTGATATTGTATATATTAAAGAAGGTTAACCACAAATGGATGGATATCAATAAAGTTGTAAAAACGTGTTCTAAATATGAAGACATACTCGAATAGGTGTTGCAGACATTTTCTTTATATTATCTGAAAAAAAGTCTTAATCAACATTACAATTGATAAATAAAAAGAACCAATAAAACGTTTTGATATTACTAAAATGGATGGCCATTGTTTGAATTGTCTGGCTTATGACAAAATTGTACAACATATTGTTTTACAGAAACCTAGCATTAGATGTTCCAATATGAACAGCGTGTGGTGTTGCTAATAAAAGAAAATGTCAATTCAGTTTAGAATTGTTATTTAAACATGGTATTGACAAATCAGCCAATATAGATAACATTATAAGATTTATTTCAACGTTGATATAATGAGAAAAACAATAAAGATGATGAATATTGCAAAAAAATTATTCTACTCATAATTAAATTATATCTAAGCTATACCGACACATTATATAAAAAAAAAAAAAAAAAAAAAAAAAAACATTTGAAATTGGATTCCACCATGGCGTCGAAGAAATAATTTGGACACATTTGATAACTATCATATTATCTTAATGATTAATTGCTGTTTCACCGGTGCTAAGGTACGGTGATTTATATGTTTTTAAAAACGCAAAGATAAATCTGTTACTTTTTCATTAAATACATACAAATGTCGTTGACCTATATAGGTTAATGAAAGCAGTAAGTCGAATATGTCATTCACCGGCGCTAGCTGTACGATTCAAAATTTGAACATAACTGCTGTGTTATTAGAGCCGTGCAAATATCATAGGTGCGATATTGTTCAATGGATAATTGAAACGTTTGATCAAAATAAACGTTTACTATAACCGGAGACCAAAACAGGCATTTACTGAAAAGTATTGATAAAAACCATGTCGACATGGAGCATGCAACTACTTGTTTATACTCGATATTGATGCTCCTGAGTAAAACAAGGAGAATGCAGATACAAATAAATGTTCAAAACTTGTAATCAATCAATAAACTTTGTATTAAGATCAAATTGTCGGATTACATTTTAACAATTAAAGTTTTGAATATTAATAATTTTTTGCATTATCTTTTCTATAATTACATTTATATTTATGACTGTTGGGAATTTGACTGCCAAGAGTTACATTGAAACACATACTTGTAGCAATATATCTAAAAGAGCCTAAAAATCAATGATTTTTATGAAAAGAGGTCCTTTTAAAATTCCATTACTTTTATAGAAAATCAGACTTCAATATCTGATTCTCGGTTTAAATCATTTAAATGGTAAATATAAACGAGAAGATGTGGTATTAGCGCCAATGAGACACGTCACAAGGTGTAAAAAGAAAACAATTATAGGTCAAAGTACGGTCTTCAACACGGAACCTTGCCGCACACCGAAGAGCAAGCTATAAAGGGCCTCGAAATGACTAGTGTAAAACAATTAAACAGGAAAACCAACGGTGTTATCTATATAAAAAAACGAGAAACACTTATGAATCACACCAACAAATGACAACCACTGGACCACAGACTCCTGATTTAGGACAGGTACATACCAATGTAGCGGGTTTAATTGTCAACCTTCATACTAACCTGAAACAGTAGTGTAACTTTTATAACATATAAAGACACACAATAAAACACCAACTGAAATGGCTTAACTCGATCAAAAAGACATATAAACAAAAACAAGTAAATAAACACTGAACGAGATTTATCTATGACACAATATAAATACAATATAAGTAAAATATATGTACCAATGTCATTAAGACAACTTTAACCTAGGACAAAATGGCGTTTAATAAAGTAACGTACACATATAAATTTAGATATAATAATTTTGTTGTTAGGAGTACAGAAACATTTAAAAAAATAATTTTGTTGTTCACAGTACGAGTACAGAAGTGAAAATCTATCGTAATACTAAAAACTTATCAAAAATTGTGAGACGAGACAAATAAATTAACATTGAATAATAGAAATGCATGACAAATTGTGTCAACATGTCATATTAAGACGAAAGTACGATTTCAAAGCACTCACAGTTACTGAACGCTAGTTAAAAGCCAAACACAATTGATAGTAAAAAAATCATGCATCAGAGACTAAAAAAAATTAAAACACATACCAGACATAGATTTAGTGTTTAAACGCCATGGACAGTCAAAAGAAGACACGACTTGTGCAATGCCAAAATAAATGAAACAAGAATCAGTAGCATAGCTAGGATTTAACCTTGTAATAAAAAGTAAAATCACAAAAATACTGAACTCCGAGGAAAATTCAAAACGGAAAGTTCCTAATCAAATGGCAAAATCAAAAGCTCAAACACATCAAACGAATGGACAACGACTGTCATATCCCTGACTTGGTACAGACATTTTCTTATGTAGAAAATGGTGGATTAAACGTATGTTTATAGCTATTTAAACCTCTCACTTGTATGACAGTCGCATACAATTCCATAATATTGACAACTATGTGTGAACAAAACAAACAGACATAATAGGTAAAAATGTCAAAATTAGGGGTACAGCAGTCAACATTGTGTTATTATCTTATTCACCATAAAAAAAAATGTAAACAAACATTTACCATGGCACAATAACACAATGCAGGATGTATAAGTACAGAGCCACGTCATATGTAACAAAGAAACACTAAAGGGTATATAGACAAAGCATATAAGCAAAAATGAAAGATAAGAATACAAAAATTATCATAGAACAATAATACAATGACTGGATGTACAGAGCCACGTCAAATGGATACCACTAAAACAAACTAAACAGTAAAAGATATATTCATAAAGACAAATAAAAGAATACTAAAATACGTTTATTAAGATGATAAACAACGTCAGTACCCAGAATCTATACTTCAAGACCATCGTGTATTATTTGTGAAGTTGATACGGAATATTTATCAACAAGGTCTTGGTACCTTCCGATGAACGTTTTTAGAAAAAGGACGAGACGTTCTTTGACATACCCTGGTTCATCAACTTTCTGCCCAGACACTGGTGACATTTTATAAAGTCTGAGTAGTTGCTGCATGTCCTCGAATACCGAATAAGTTGGGAAATGTATATCCCATATGCAAGTGGTTGGTATATTGCTACTAAGGTGCGGGAATTTGATAATTTCAAAATTAAAATCGTCTCGTTTGTCATAGATTCTGGTACTGAGATGACCGTGTATGTCAAATTCAAGGTATAAAATAAATGTGCATGATGTTATATATAGATAAAACAAGCTCTAAATAGAAAATAAACGTGGATGTGTATTTATTCATCCCAAAAAACATTCGAAAATAATACAAATTTAATAATGTTTTAATTTGTTGATAACTTTCATAGGTTTGTATGGTTTTTATTCAAACCATTCGACGAATGTAAACTTATAGATCGGCAGAAGTATATATTTTTTTATCGATAAAGTGTTCATCTCCAATATTTTGTGATATTTCAGAGGTACAGTTTTAATGTCGACTGCAGGTGTCATATGGAAAATCCCCCTTCCTGAAAATATAACCCGGGGTCAAAATACTATATTGAAAATTGAACCCTGCATGAAAATTGAACCGACTATATCTCCTTTACATTAGTTTGAATACCTTTGAAAATATCGCTAAAATAGTCTTCAAATGTCTTACTTTCATAGGGTTTCAACAAATTAATTATTGCTGCGCCATCTATGACCAAAAGGTCTGGATTTTGTGCTTGCTCGTGCAGCACTGTCCATCTTTCCAATGGAACTAACAGCTCAGATTTTGATCCTAGACGAATCTCTCCAAACTGTGAGAGGGCTTGAGAGTATGATTGGTTTTTATGCCGTACGAATCCATCTAAGTCATGAAACATACATTTGTGAAAACAAAGAACAGGTTTTTTTCAAAGATGTTATCTGCTGTTTGTCTCAATCGTCAGTTGTTGTCGATTAAACAGCAATAGCTTGTTTTGTTTAATTGGTACAAAGAGGGACTTTGACTTATTTTCTAGTCTGTAAGCTACAAACTGATGTTCAACATTTCTAATAGTTTCGAAGACACGTGGATCAACAATGTCTCGTGTATCTAGAATCAACAAATCCGCTCCTAAAAAAGTTTACCCATTTCGGGAACCAGTCAATTAGTTGACATCGTTCTAAAAATGTTTCAAGTGTTGTGTATCCTGTTCCTACTTCTGGGTCAGATCGTTTGCTATAAGCGGGACACTGGCAATTTTCTTTAATCTATTCTTGACAAAAAAAAAACATTCTTTTCAATTAAAGCTGGCTTAGTTAGAAGATCTTGATGGTAATTCAGCATCTACAATTTTGCACTTTTATCTCAAAATATACATCTACAAAAATACCAATACCTACAAAACAAATCTTATTTGTTCATAATGGCAATCATGTTTCATGCTTTTAATCTATTCTGCACCAAAAAGAAACATTTGGTAACCTAATATAAGTTAAATTTGTGTGTTTTGATATTCAATGGCGAACATTTTGAAAAAAAGCCGCCATTTTGAAATTTCAAGGTGGGACCATAGCTCATTTTGTTTGGAATAACCACCCCTACTACCATGCCAAATTTGATACTTTTGTCATCAAACACACAATTATTTCACCAATCGACCGGACTATATCTCGACCAAGTAACCAGTAATTCCCTGGTTGTCGTTGTTCGTTGTCTGTGTCATATTTGGATTTTTTTTGTTAAATTATTATTTTGTTTTTAATGAATCAAAAAAGGTCGCTGAGGTTTCTTTTGTATTGTATCGCATTTTGTTATATCGTGCTCATTATATCTTAAAACAGGTATACGATATAAGTACTATTTGAAATAACATAAAAAATGAGGTGCACACTTTTAAATAAACCTCTAGGTTATTCAGTGTGTACCACTTTTTTTAAGTTATTTCTTCATCGATAGAAAAAATGTTACAGTCATTCCTTATATACTTTACTACATATGATGGCAAGCAATCGTACCAAACATGCAAGTTTTTTTATCAAACCATCTGAGAGGAGTGCGTTTAATAGGTCATCGTGTGAATTGTATTGTGTTATATGTCCACTTTTGATAAAAATGGACATATCTATATATTTGAGATCAAAGTGCAATGGTCTATTTCCATATAAAAATGTAATACGAGATTTCTACTTTCTACGATTTTTGTCAAACCATCATAGAACTCACAAGACGCGGTGTCATTGTGTTTGTCATAGTTCAATAACTCCTGTGAAATCGTCATATCAAAATGACGATATCATATTGTTAAATACTCTAACAAGTATGAGAGCTTTCTGTCAAACGGTTTTTGAGAAGGTGTGTTCATAAGATGTCTTTATGGGACTATCCTTTTTATAAAATGTATTTCTAAAAAAAACACGGTATAGACCATGATATTCTTCCAATAATGAGAAACAATCCTACCTAGTCGATCTGAGTAAATTCTCTTATTTTTTTGAAGTCTAAAGAGTATTGCAAAATGAGAGATCTATATTTTAAGAAGATTGCTACCAAGTATGTAAGCCTTCTGGTAGACTGTCACAAATGGGTTGCGTTCACATGACACCATTGTGATACATAAAAAACAATATGGTCCCATAACTTTCATAAGAATTTTAAAGTCCAAATGGCGGTAACATGGTAAAGTATGATCAAGAGAATGTCTTGAAAAATAATTCTACCAAGTATGTTAGCTGTCTGCCAAGCGGTCTCTGGGAAATGTTGTGTTTTGGACAGACAAACGGACTGTTCAAAACTATTACTATTCCATCACGGCGCGTTAATCGGAAGACAAAGAAAGGGAAAAGACACCAAGTATCCATGATACGGGGAAAAGACAAATGAAAGTCCACAAAACTCTAACCAGTACAAAGCCTCTAACTCATGTTCAGAAAATATATCGGGTTATTCATGACAAGTTGTACTCGGTTGTATTATCAGACTCGGTTGTGGTAATGTATTACAGATTGAAGTAGAAACCATCTAATCAATGACACCATGTAAACAAACGCCTTGTTGATCGAACCTAAAACAACAAAATAAATATGGGTTCATAAAATGAAATA